GACGTTTCCCAAACTAGCTGGATGAAACAACTGGCTATCCAGTACTCTAATGTTAGTTTTAAATGGTTCTCCAACCAACATCACTTCGTGATCAACTCGTAAATATATATATATATATAATACTGAAAGTGGAACTGTCACTTTTAAAAAAAATTCACTGTTTTCAAAGTTACTGCTTTGTAGTACTCCGATATACGACTATTTCGTAACAATTTTATAGGTCTCAGCAAATGAATGGTACGCGTGCTAATATTCACTTTCTATAAAAATTGTTTTACTCATCTTACTACTGAATAATAGTAAGCTAACCAAAATTTTAGCTAAATTTTATCTATTCCACTATTTTTTTATTTTAAGAAATATAAAAAACCGAAGGGCAAAAACACTTCTGTCCTACATTATTACTATTATGACAAACAGTAATATATGTATATAATAATAATAATTTGCTTTATTCCAAAACAGTACTTGTGATACAGAATGGAATTCTCAGAATTTCACTACAGTATATTGCATCCAGTTTGTAAATTATCAATAAATAAAATTCTACATAGATTATGGGTAATCTCAGTTAGTTTTGAGAACAACATATTAGCATGTCGGTAGCAAAGCCAAAATTGAACAGAATGTTTGAAGGTGTTGGAAAAGTAGATGCCAGCATATTTGCTGGCGTAAGCGGAAGAAAGAAAAAAAAGAGAGAAAAGGAAAAGAAGGAAAGAAAACGTTGTACCTATAAATGATATGAGTTGGAAAGACGAGATCCAGTTGTTCTACTGACTATTTAATAAGTTATAGGTACCACGCCTAATGCTTTCTTTATCGCACAGAACACGAGCTAAGTAGGGTATGGTTGAGTTGGGGTTTGTACTTGCTAGTGCCACCATATAGTTTTCTATATAGGCTTCTGGTCTGCTTGCCTGATGAGATACAAGGGGAGAGTTGTGAGTGATATACATCCTAACTTATTAGTTACCAGTATCTTGAAAACAGCGTATCGATGGCACAGCGGTGAAATGCTTGCCAACCACGCCTCAGGTGGTTCGGGGTTCGATTCCTGGCCACCAATGCACTCCTTTACCTCGCTCGCTAAGCCAGTAATAACATGACTGGTAAAGAGGGAAGGTTGGACATGAGGCTAGCAAACCCATCCCCCAAAAAGATAAACACTTCTACTACAGAAACTTCAAGTCTCTAGCTTGAAGCCCCCCATGTTCCACTGGGAACGTAGGGGAATAAGAGAAAAATCTTGAAAACATACGTCTCAGTTCACCAATAATTCTGCACTGATTATGCAGATTTCTATTACTATTATGCGTACTAGTCAACACTGCCCCTTGAAAATTAAGGGTTTATTACGTTTGCTTGCAGAGGAATCAGTCAAACTCTGTGAATTTCCGTTTCCAGCATTTATTGATTTGTCGTACTAGTAAATATATACATCAGATATCTTGAATTTTAAGTGAAGGATTCGGTATATAGAAGGCATAATTGCTTGGCATATCCCCGAGTTAACGATCTAATCACAATATCGATACTTACTTGCATATCTCAACTAACTTCCTAATTATTGTCATTTTGTTTTCTCTTAGACTGTGTACCACTGTTCTCACATTCGCTTATTGTATGTTGACTTTAGCAAAGACAGGACTCCAGGTGGACATAGACAAGACTCAGGTTATGGAAATAACCAACCAACAACAACAACAGCGGCGAAAACATCCAGCGCCAATCACCATCAACGGGAGGGATTTGAAAGAGGTTACTTCATTCACTCACTTATCTAGCATTGAGCACAGTCTCAACTACAGGAGGAACGGACGAGGATGTCAAATTGTGTGAGAATCGGGAAGGCGAGCGAGAAACACGTTCATCAACCTGAAACCAATCTGGAAAACCAATCTTCGTCACTCAGCCTGCATCAACAACAAAATTCAGTCGGATTTTCAATACAAACGTCAAGTCAGTCAGTTCTTGTATACGAATCAGAAACTTGGAGGGTGGGTCACAAATAAAATTTCCAACAGGCTATTACAGACCTTTATCAACAACTAATTGTCTTCACTGGATCTATACTGAAGATCAGATGACCGGGCTGGAAAGAATCACTAACAAGAAACTATGGCGGGGAACAAACAAAACAAGAACAAACCGATCGCCCAACAAATATGCAGGAGAAAGTGGAGATGGATTGGATACTTGCTGAAGAGGCCGCCTCTGGATGACATCGCGCGCATGTCAGGCCATTTCTCGAGTAGAACCAGGCCGAAAGAGAAGCACGCCGCGAGTGGGACGTTAGCGCAAGGGTGACATGGAGGAGATAGTGTGAAGAGGAGTTGGAACAGCATGGACTAACCTAGTTGCAGGTGTCAAGTACAGCATAAGACAGAAGCAAGTGGAGACGTGCAGCTGAATCCCTGTGTTCCACTAGGAACCCAAGGGGACACTAATACACTAATAATAATAATGTTGACTTGATTTTTCGCTATTGTTTGTCCTTGTCCTTGTTTATTTTCTAATGTTCCTACTTCCCTTTGCGCCAGTATGATGACGAGACTGATAATGTGTTGTTTTACAAGTGCGATTTCGTTCGACTGAGTTGAGATCATTCCGACCTTAAAATTTCTGGCTGAATTGGCCAGTGCGTGATTCTTGGTGCAGTAGTTTTCATCCCACCCATCTTGTTGATAATGTTCTACCTGATTCTAAGGTACTTCTTATATAGTTCAACTTTGTTTAATTAATTTTATTTTTAGAATACTTGTTTTGTACTAGAAATTTATGTAGCCTGTACAGCTGCCTGACAGGATGGTTGACTTAATTTTGAGTTTTTGATGTGTTTTTTAGTGAGGGATATTGCTGTCGATTTTATCTGAAACAGTAGTCTTTTTGGTGTTGTAACTCGAGGATGTTCAGGCGAAATATACTGATGGATGCTCAGATTGTTCTCCTGCTTTAAAACCGTGACACGTTAGTCATGATCACTACACCAAATATGAATATTTAATAAGGGATATTAAAGTGTAGACACAGTACATTTATCAGTTTTATTCAAGTGTTGGTTTGTAGGAATTTGGTTGATTGGTTACAGGATTTCATCATGGGCTGATATTAGTTAGAGAACCATTGGAAAACCTCGTAGTACTGTACAGCTGTTTCGTCCTAGTTTGGGACTCTTCACTTGGGACCAACACTTGAACGTCGATGAGATGCTCACTAGCGACTTGCCCTATTTAAGCAGGTAGTTACCTGGGGTTCTAGTGAGAAGTCATGACCAGTAGGATGCAGCAGGTCGAGTGTGAGAACAAATACTCGCAGAAGACATTGGCTAGGGTCGCTCTATGTCGTGAATTGGGAGAAGTTAGAATTCAAGGACCACTGGATCGTGTCCCAGTGGCTCAACGGTCTAAGAGCTAGCTCGCCTTGTAACAAGAAGGTGCTGGGTTCGAACCTCGGTGGGTGCGTACTGCTGAAGATTCGCAAACTAGGATGAAACAGATGTCCAGTACTCCCAGTTGGTTTTCCAATGGTTCTCTAATTAAGGTCAGCTCATGAGGAAATCCTGTTGCCAGTTTCATATTTGTTTGCTCATTACTGTATAAATAAATTTCATCAAATGACCCACGGTGAACTGCATAAAACTCCTGAACAAAGTACTTACTTATCGACCTATCTATTTTCAAAACTGATGCCTTATGTATCTTATCTTAAAAATCTAATTACTGTTAACAATTTTGACTTATTTCAGTTTCATATTAGTCCTGTGTCTCAGCTCAATGTTCTGTTGGTCCAAAATAAAGAAAAAAATCTTCTCATAACTAAACAGAAATCATTATTTTTACGAGTTGATCACGGATTGATATCGGTTAGAGAACCATTGAAGACCAGAATTGGAGTACTGGACAGCCAGCTGTTTCATCCAACTAGTTTGGGAATCATAGGATGTACGTACCCACCTCCAGAGTTCGAACCCAGGACCTTACGGTCACAAGACAAGCTGGCTCGTATACCATTCAACTACTGGGACCCGATTCAGTGGCCGCCAGCCCATGAATTCTAACTTCTACCAATTCGTGATATAGCACGACCCCAACCATTGTCGTAGACGGGCCATCCATCCTCACACGTGACTGAATCGACCCCACTGGTCATGACTTCTCACTAGAACTCCAGGAAACTTAATCCTACGACAATGGTTGGGGTCGCGTTAAATCACGAATTGGTAGGAGTAAGAATTCATAGGCTGGCGGCCATTGAATCGGGTCTCAGTAGCTGAATTGCATACGAGTCAGCTTGCCTTATAACCTGAAGGTCCAGGGTTCGAATCGTGGTGGTGAGTGCGTACTTCCGATGATTCTCAAGCAAGTTGGATGAAACAGCTGGCTCTTCAGTACTGTCTGTCTGGTTTTCAATGGTTCTCTAACCGACATCAATCCGTGATCAACTCGTAAAAACAAAACTAACCCTTACAAACCAAACTACAGAATAGAAATCATTATCAACTTAATTCACTAGGACTGGACATCATTCACTAGTTCATATGTACATCTATTTCCCAGACATTTTGTACTTTTGCTGCTCAAAAATAACCATAAAAAAACGGTGAGTAACTGTTCAATCACACAAATATCCATGGAGACGTATTCAACAACTATTTAGCTCTCTAAAACAGTAATTTACCAGCTTCACTCACAGCTTAGCGACGTTTAACAGTGCGTCATCCGGGGATTTAACCCAGGACCACAAGAGTCGTGGTCGATTGAGCACTCTACTCCTGAACCATCGATACACAACAAGCCAATTCGTTTGAGTAAAATGCCCCCCTTTTTCAGGGAATCTTCATTTCAACAACTTAGTTGCATTTGATTCCCCCTCATACTGGCAGTGTGAAATAACTTTACTCGTTTGTAAATCACATCGTTCACAGTTCTTTTCATAAAAAAATCAATAACTGACTAATTATCACTTTCTCATCTTTTTGCTCTTTTTTTGTTCATATTTAGTCTCCACCAAAAGGGAAATCACCAATGACGAAAATTAAACAAGTACTGCTCCGTAGTAAATCACTACACAACAGCACAAAGACAGGGTCATCGAAAAGTGCACATATTCAAACTTCTAACTAACTCTGCCTTTTTACACTGCACACACACACACACACACCCAGCCCCGTCGCCACGAGCGCCGCCCTCAAACAACCCAACACTCTGCTTCAATGAATTCAACAACTCAACAGAAGAAAATCCACTTCATCACTTCATTACACTTTCATGTTTTCATTTGTTTTGGTTATTTTTTCGGGAATGGGGTTGGACGTTGTGGGGTGGGGTGGGGGGAATTTCATTTTTGAGTTTTCTTGTTTCCTTTTGTTATGAGAAGCAAAAAGATATCTGATACAACTATTTTTTAGTTTTCACATTACAGTATAATTATTAGTATTGTATGCACATACACACAGAGAGATAGTGAGACAGAGAACTGTAGGTGAACGGAAATGAAAATACCAACGGAAAAAAAATCAGTTGTTTTTACAAATTTCACAGTTTCACAAGAAGAAAAATGTGTGTATTTCTGCCCACAAATACGACTACAGCTAATATCAATAATAATAATAATAATAATAGTAATAATAACGATAGTAGTAACAATCCTAGCAATAATACAATTACAAATACTATTTTTGCAATCACCTTACATACATTTCAAATATTCTGCGAAATGTAATGTAGTCTTAGTGTAAATTGTAGGTCTCATGCGACATAGCCATGCTGGCGGCTAAGCAAACTTAACTTCATATAAAGTTTGTTTATTTCGATTTTTACTGAAGATGATAAGGGCCTATTTTCAGCTGGTAATTAACTATGGAGTAAGGATGTACACAGATAGTTTTGTGCATAGTACATTTGAAAAAAGTTGACCACATGTGAAGCAAAACAATCCCCCCCGCTCGACGTCTGTCTGATTGGCTGTGAATACCATAGTTTCTTTTCTCATTCATTGTACTTAGGTCGCCTTATGTAAACAATTATCATGTAAGAAAACAAAGAAAACAAACGACATATTTTAGACTAATCTAATATAAAGAATACTGCTATTATTATTATTATTACTACTATTTTGAAATTGTGTAGCTTAAATATTTAGATGTGTTGACACATTGAATCACGCGGCACAATTTATTCAATTTTCAACATTAAATTATTCAGAGAATTATAGATTACATTTTTAACTAAACAACTCCATCACATTTTTTTTCTCTTGTAAAAATACAAAACAATCAATGAGAAAGTTTATACATACATGCATATATTGTAAAGAGTTCAACATTCTTCTTATTCACTTATCAGTTTGTAAAATTCATTTTATTACCCTGATTAAATATGATTTCTAAACTGTGTTATTCGTTTTTCCCGTAAGAGGCATAATACATACTGACCTGAAAAATTTTTAAATTCATTTTAGCTTACTGTATATTTAATAAGTAGCATAAATTCTTTACCAGAAAATTATATGATGGACATTAGGACAAAATTAAAAGTAAACTCTACCTTGGTTAGCACTGACATCATGTAACTAAATCAAACCTCTGATTTTCTAAGGCTAATCTCCGTAAACGCGTAGCTGAACACTACCCAGTTTGGTTAATGAAAGGTGAGTAGAGGATAACAAAGTCTTTAGTCTGTGAACACCTGCCCCACGTGATTTATCCCTTAAAGTTATCTACATGACTAAATACAATCACTCCAAAAGCGTACGTTTTCTCTACTTATGCATAGCCAGCCGAAGCTCTAGCTGTACATGGACAAAAACCTAAACTGTGTGTTCAAAAACGGTTTGTCAAACCCCTTCCTTACCTTGACAATAGTAATGTTCCTTTATTTTGCTCTATTTTTCCATAATAAGGATGAAAAAGTGAGGCGATGTGTGATAATAAGAATAACGAAAAAGAGCATGATTAAACCAACAAATATTCAGGTAGGAGTAGTCGATAAAGGCTAGGAAAAACAAATGAACTGATTACGTAATGCCAGGTTGTAAGGGGAGTACATAAAATACTTTTTCAATGAAGATGTGATAAGATTAAGGGATGATAAGAGAGGGGTTGAAAATATAGGTAAGGGGTGGTAGAGATGTCATCAGTTGGTTATCTCTTAATGAATTACCTTGAAAGCCCTCGTTTTCTCCACTACATGATCACTATCAATTAAATGTGACAAAATTGAACTACGGATTGTTTTTTTCTATCCTTTGCCAAACCACGATAGGAGATGTTCACTAACACGTTGGCTAGGCTGTCAAATAGTACGCCCAACGCAACTGTCACCGCAGGTGTAGTTGAATTGATGTATGTAGATAGATATGGAAAAACCATCTAGATGGTCCCTCGTTTGCTTCCCAATCACATTTAGCACGGATTTTGTGTAAAGAGAAGAATATCAGATGAGAACTTATAAACATTTTAAATCAGCAGTTAAACTGCATAGTATAACAAGAATTATATATATATATATATATATAATTCTGCACACATGCTTTCATTTCCTCTTCAAATGACGTCCTCCATGTCACTTTCGCACTAATGACCAACTCGCCGCTTCCCTTTCGGTTTCCACTCGAGCAATGGCTTGTTTAGTGATGTTACTTGATGAGTTCCTCACAGTATCGCCAATCCACCAACTGCATTTCTTCCTGCCTATTTGTTGCACAATCGGTTCCTGCTGGGTTGATTCGCGCATTGCCAGAGATCCCTGTTGCTGATCATTTTTGATGGGTCATCTGATCTTGAGTATTGAGCGAAGACAGCTGTTAATGAAGATCTGTAGTTTGTTTGAGGTGCTCTTCATGACACACCAAGTCTCTGATCCATCCGTACAGTCGCACTGAGTTGAAAATCCGGATCTCATTTTTCATGCTGAGTTCTGTTAATCTATCTCCACACAGACTTGAGAGTAATCAAAGCTTGTCTTGCTTTCCCTATGATCCTTGCTTTGATATCCTCGTCAGTCCCGTTAGCCTGTAGTTGGAACGATGCTTCCCAGGTTGGTAGGTAGGTAAAGGAGGTTGCTTCTTTCAGGTTCCTCCCATTTATGCTGGCTGATTGTTGTCTGTTGTTGTTGTGGCTGTTGGTGTTGGCCAGGAATCTTCATCATCACCTCTGTTTTCTTTATGTTCACTTGAAGTCCCATCTTCTGTAAATGCTTCTTCTGTCAACTTGTTGCTTTCCACTTGCATATCTTTCAATTTGTGGGAAATCGGATATATATCATCGGCGAAGTCCAGATCCTCCAAGTTTTATAGCATATATATATATATATTTCTATGTTCAATATGTTAAAATTATTCAACAAGAATAAACAGTAGTTTATTCGTACGTTCTGTTAAAGGGCGGAAAGTATCTTCGTCGTCTTGATGCTATATTGTTTAAATTATGCATCTTGAGGGAATGATTAGGATGCATTTGACAGTTTAGAGTAAGGCAGCCTGCTTGAACTCTGGGCTACCAAGAACGCCACCTTCCATCAACTTACATTTATATTTTATTGATTCACTCCCATATTGTCGTTTTAATCAACCAATAATATCTTCAAATCGTATTCTTCACAATCGTGTCTTTTTAAAACTTTTCCAATCTATTGAGTTGAGTCCTTCTCGAAAATTGAGGAATAAACATCATTGTAGTTGGCGACATGCATTAAAACATACACTATTCGGACAAATTTAAAGTATTATGATCCATGGAATGCGAACTCACGAGCGACATTGAGCCGACCAGTCATAACGAATAGCAATTTTTACACAAAAAATGACGTTTATTTACAAGAAAATGCAATGAAAAGACATTAAATAGAGTATTTTTCTCAGAAATGACTTAGAAATACTCCTCAGTTATATTGAGAAGTGTCAGTTTTTAATCTGAACCAATTTCTATACACACATATTCATCAAGGTGACCGAAAATAAGTTCATTTTGCGAGCTGTTTATTGCTCTTATCGCGTTTTTCAATCTACCCGCAGAAGCCCTCGATTGAATTGGTATGAGTGCCAGTTATGGTGTTGCCAGAATCATCAGAATGGTTAGCTTGATGATGGATATGTAAGTGTTGGTTGTACTTAAGATAGACCTCAGATAACCGCACTTACTAAATACTTCTCTTCTTAATACCCATATCAGTACTCTATATAGCATGTAAGTACCGATTAAAGAGACTCAAAGTAAAAAGGCTTGAGACTGGTAGATGATAGTTTATATCAATTTTAATAAATAAGAATGTTGTACCACTTATCCGTTGCCTTGCTAGGTAGTAAGCTCTAAGAGTGCGCTTAATGGTAGCACAACAGGGGAGTGAACCATATACGAAGAGTCATGCCGAAAATAAGAAGATGGGTGGAGCCATAGTGCGTGAATGCGTTCAGACATTCATGGTGCACTATAGATATACACTAGATCTGATAAGCGGTTGTATTCCGCCCATTCATCGGTGCGAATAATAGTGCCAGAGATGAATAGCCTTTGAATACTTGATAGGAGAATGTTGGCACTAGGGTATGGAGTAACCTCCATTAATCCCTTCTGTGAAACAGTATCCAACTTCCAGGATATTTAATGCTGAAACCGGTGCGCAGCAGACACAAAGGTATTTCCTGTCTCTACAGCCACTGATTTCATTCCAGACTTTAGGAGTACATTCATCAGAGGTAGTTTCGATTTAGCAAAGAAAGTTCCCAAAATATTAGTGAACTGAGTCTGTAACTTACCAGTACGTGCATTCATTTATTTCACTATATTGTGTGCACTTAAATGTATGTCCATCAACAGCTTCTTAACACCACAGTAGGTACATGGAGGCACCACAAGAACACTTTCGGCTACGCACTATCAATCCATTGTCTAAACAATACATAAAAACGTGACCTGGTTGAAATTTGCTCTTTAATTGGTGAATAGAACTCACATTAGCGCTGTAATAATGACAGATCCTGTGAACCAATTGTTATCACGCATTTGATTTCTTTGAAGCGTTCGCGATACTTTAACTTAGTCACTGATTAATAATATAACTGTCCCCGAAGTGGTTAGTACAAACTGCATATCTCTGCCTAACAAAGTGGACTATCTCTAATCTCTAATATCCTCGAATGTATATCAAAGTGCTGGTGTTTTAGCGATACAAGAGATCTGGCTATACCCAGAAATATGACGATAATCTAATTTAATTAAATGGTTATAAGTTTTTCCATCAGGATTAACAATTTACGGAAAAGCACGGAGGAGGGGTAGACACATTTAATACAAAATGGTCTAAGTTCAATCCTATATGTTTTCATTTTTCCAATGACAACATAGATTGCATCACTGTTGGGTATCACCCAAAGCATTTAAGTAAATAATCCCATATTTGCAGAACAAATTCTTGAGGTTTCTAGGAAATTGAAGGGGACCAGAAAAGTTCGTCAACTCAACTGAATCTCATACATTTCATCGTTAACGATCAACTTGTTTATCCATGCGAAGTGAAACACACAGTGGACAATAAAATTTTCGAAAGGACAAGAGCCCAACAGCTTCTGTGTGGTGTGATTATCTACGTGTACACTCTCTTTAAATCATCGTCAACAAATACATCATTTAGCAGCCGTGTTGTATTTTCCCTTCTCTAGTTTGGCCGGTGTTAAGAACAGCTGAGCCTCCAGGTCAGGTGAGCCAGGCCAAAAAGTCAGCAGGTAGTGTTGCCAGATCTCAGGTTTGGCAGGACAGATGGTCACATGCCAACTGGAGCGTTATTTCCAGTCGAAACCAACTGGATGTGGTTTTGAATTCGTCCAAGGAGCCTAACTAACGAGATTCTTAAAATATACGCATCTTTGTAAACAAATTTTCCGAATCTCCTGCCGCTGTCTCTGGAAATTCCATGTCAACAGTCCGTGGGGATTTTAATTCATGCGATCACAACTTTCTTACACCACTTGTTCATGAGAACCATGTCAAATTCAATACTCATCATACAAGGCCCGAAGCAGAGCTCCATTGCTGAATTCTGACCACTGCATTATTCGTATTTTACCAAAAGTGTATGGGAATTTACACAAAAAGGTTTGGTGATTTCTCTATTCTGTACAAAGATGACGAAATAAATGACGAAGTAAATGATGGCACCATCTTATTTTATTCAGAATGATTTTCGATCGCCTAACAAGATTCAGAAGGTTCAAGAAATATCTTATTTTACACTACAATATTCCTGCACCACGATGCATGTTACACGATGCTGACTAGGACCTAGTGACTGATGAAGCGTTAAATGTCAAAGTGTCTAATGTCATCTGTTGTTGTCCTACTAAAACAATGCCTACGGGACTTGACACCATCTCGTCTTCAGAAAAGCTTAGAAGAACAAATAAGAACTTTATTGCATGGAGGATTTCATCATGAGTTGACGTTAGTTAGAGAACCACAGGAACACCAGCTGGGAGTACTGGACAACTGTTTCGTCCCAGTTTGGG